CTATTTTTCTTCGGATGTTTAATCAAACTGAACTTTTCAGATCTTAGATCAAAACTCATTATGGCAAGCTCTTGTCTTAAACCATCACCAAAAGAACCTTCATAGTAGATGACTCCATCAATGCATTTTGCACAACCTGTCACTTTGTAATGACTAACGAACCCTTTAGTTAATATTCTCCATAATGCTTGAGCTCCCAATGTAAGAATCCCAATCTTGTTTCTTTCTTTAAGTATGCATAGTACTTTGTACTTACCGTTGATCGGATCATATCCCAAAAACCCCGTTAGGGGTCTGCCTTCGTTGCTATCAAGTTTCGGTAACGTGAAGAAGCTTTTCGTGATAGGGTTTCTAATAAACATGACATTTGTAGAAGTTTCCAAGTAAATCAAGCCGTGGACGGATTCATAACGTTGAAGTTTACCATTATTGGGGATTGTAAATTGAAAATTCTCCACTCTAGGACAAGTCTTCTTCTGGTGTACTGGAGACGCAAAACAGAACAGCTTGTCGTCTTTTCTGAAGGTTAGCAGAACACAAGGCCGCGATGACAAGGACCGTGTCACGACCGAGCTGGTGAAATATGGAGTGGTGGTGATTGAAGAGCAGAGCTTAGAAACGGACCTAAATCTCAAAATCGATTTTGATGGCAGTCTTGAGAATATCTCCACGATTAAATCAAGAGGAATATGCTCTCTTTGAGATCTATCATTATCATCTGAAGATTGTGTTGTTCTCTGGATTTTTCTCATCTTTGATGGCTCCATAGTTTTAACTTTTAGAACCCTAGCTTGTTCTTCCGTTTGCTACAATGCTTTTTTTTTTAAGATGTAAGACCATAATTATCGGAAGATCATCTTAATGGTGTGCTTAGAATAAAAAAAAATAAAATAAGACCCAAACCCAAGAACAGGGCCAGGAACAGGTCTTGAGCAAGAACTAAACCCAAGAACTAAACGCACTATTCCCATTATTTCTTAATTTTAAATTACTAAGATCACACCAACTGTTTTGGCGTTGCATATGCCCTTAGGGGTGTTGAACCTTGAAAGTATCCGGATCCGTTGTTTTTGGATATCCGAGTCCGCAAAATTTTCTGAAAATATTAAATAATAAAATAGTTGGATGAGTTTTGTGCGAAAAAGAAAAAAAGATAACTTGAAGGGTTTTAATCTTGAAGAAAAGGAAAAGTATAAAACAAATATATCAGTTTGCTGTATAAGAAAAAAGATTAGGACAATCGTAAAGTCAAGTAAATACTATACATAAAGTAAATTGGAAAACCATCGATTATTCATATGAAAGGATCCCATCTTAGAAGAAGTCTAAAGAATGGCTTCTCCTATAAAGACAAACCAAGCTTGAAGGCCTGGGTCGTATCTTTTGTCACCAGTATTTCGAATTGTTGATAGTTAGTTCCGGACTTGCTTATCTATCCAGTTGATGAGTCTAGATGATGGAGTCGGTTTCTCCTCGTGTCTCCGTCCATTTCGTTCCCTCCATATCGAATATACCGTGAGTTGATAACGGTAACGTAATAGGAATGTTCGGGTACGGTCTAGCGGAGGAGTGGAGATGCAATCAACTTCATGCCAGACCGTGGAGAAGTGACGTTGAAGTAATTGATCTATAAGTGTGGTCCAAATTTCCGATGAGTAGCTGCACGTAAAGAACAAATGATCCCTTGTTTCCATGTGAATATGTGATTATGACATAACACACAAGTACAAGTAGACAATGATCCCAACAGAATTAGGGTTGACCAAACATCAGGGTTGACCAAACATCAGGGTTGACCTATATTTTATGAATTAGGGTTGACTAAAAATCAGCCCAATATGCCCAAAATGACTATAGCTTCAAACCTACGCCTCCTAATCGTGTCTCTTCTACCGAAGGAAACACATTATGGGTAGAGAAAAATCGAAACAGGCTCGTTCCAAAGGGTTGAATCTAAGATTGAAGAAAGATAGGTTGTGAATGACCTGATCCTTTGATATATCAAATGCTTTCCAATCTTCCCATAAAGGAAACTGTTACGACAAGCGTATTATCCACCAGATGGAGAAGTCTCTGGCTTTGGATTCCTAGTTTGGAATTGGATTGTTCGAGATTCCCAAATTCCAATGCCTTCATGAGTTTTGGTGATAGATTTTTCGATTCCAATAGGGTTTCATGCATAGAAAGTGTCAAGTTATATTTTGGTAAACATGATGCATCTTATCTCACATCATGGGTCAATGCAATAATTAAGCGTAAGATTCAACATCTAGATTTCATCGTGTTTTTGGGATTTACTTAATTTCATGACATTTCCTTCAGCCTTAATGTTTGTGAGACTTTAATTTGGTATCACTAAAACTCTTTAATCTGACTTTGAATAATGCTAAGTTCACTTGTTTTTTGCTTGACGAGACGTGACGAGACTCGAGATCACTTGTTTTTTGCTTGCCCCTACTCATTCATGATTTGGTCGGAAGTAGCGGGATCACTACTACAACAACAACTAAATCTGGATTGGGACATTACACTCGCAGCCCTCATAGCCGGTTCAGATGATTTACTCAATGATATTCTCGTAAGGCTCTGTTTTCAAGTCTCTATCTACCTTGTTTGGAGAGAAAGAAACAATAGGATTCACGGCAGGGGATATGCAACGATCCCACAGTTGATAAAAACCATTGACAAGCTCATCCGGAACAGGATCACTTCCATGGACTATGCCTTGAAGCCGCGATTTAGGAATCTTCTTCAACGATGGTTTCTGCACGCGCCTTCGGCAGCGAGAAGAAGTTGACGTAGGAAGCTAAAACTCTGTTTTTTGTTATTTAATTTTAAGAACAAACTTTTAGAGCATGGTTTTTTAAACCCAGCTGAGAACTTTTTTCAATAAATAGTTTTTTACTTGATCAATCAATTACACATTTCATCAAAAATAATAATAATAATAATAATAATGCTAAGTTCGTTTCTTTACCTTGTCTAAAGAAAATGCATTTAACATGTGTTTTAATTTGTTTCCCAATGAGGCCACTTTTGAGAGACTTGTCTCTTCGTGCCCTATCTTAGGAGACTTAGAGATCAATGTAAGATGGTAAAGTCTATCGGGTGAAATCTCGGTCACTGAAGAGGCTCTGTTAGTACGAAGTTCTCATAAGGTGTTTAGTTCTGTTCCGGGAGTTGTGATTGATGCTCCTCTACTATGCTCTTTGAAAATCTATGATCCTGTAGGAACCTATAAAGTAAATAATCTGGAGTCCAATGTCAAGTTAGATATTCATCTCGACTTTGGTTTGAAAGATTTTAGTAAAGCAAGCGTTTCATTGAGGAGAAGTCACATCAGCAGATTTCTGCCTGCTATCTCGAGGATCATGGATATAACGATATCCGCATACAGTTCCAAGGTATATTATGTATTGGACATGCACATTTTACCATAATGAAAGTTTCTAACCAATATAACTTTTTTTTCTACAGGTCATTCGTCACAATACCAAATTAGAACCAGTAGACCAATTTGGTTACATGTATGTCCCACCTGAATGTTACTCTATGTGTATCCAATTTAAAATTGTTACCGATCTTTCTTGAGAGCTGTCCGAATTTGGAATCTCTCATCTTGGTGATGATCTGCTTAACCGATTATATTTTAATTTTTTTCATCTCAAAGAAACTTGTGTATCATCTCGTTGCGTTTTAATTCTCTCTTTTTTCCTCAGGTGTTGTTGGATGGTAAGAAGATCCATCCCGAGCAGATGAATCAAATAAGTTTTTAATCTGTTCCTGAGCGTGTTTGCTATATTCGCTCCAGTTTGTTGATCTCGATACGGAAATCTTGGGATATGATGCAGAAATGAAACTGGTAAAGTACTTCGTAGAGAATTCAGCAATCCTCAAGAAACTCACAGTACATATGAAGTCTCGTTCAACAGTTTATGAGAAGTTGCTCCTCAAGATCCCAAGACGTTCTACTACTTATCAAGTACTCATCCTCATCTGATTGGTAAAAAGCTTAAAGAGAGCACGTGAAGTTCTTGCCACACAAGAAATACATGTTTTTAGGTTCTTTCGTATACTTCTTCGGAGTAAACAGAAGAAACTGTTTAAAGTACTTTTGTTACTCTTTCTTATGTTCCTTATTCTCTAGACATTGTTATTAGAGATAACTAATTTCATTTTTTTGGGGGGTGAAATTGGAGGCCGTAACATCATTGGCATAGACTCGTTGACGCGTTATGTCCTTCTAACTTTATTATAGACTGGTTGTTACTTCCAAAAATGGTTGAATGGGACGAAACAATCCGTGTGATAATAGAAAGACCATCATTTTCAGAATTCACTGTAAAGAATTTTCTGGTTAATTATAAGATTGATATCCCCATTTTAGTGTTGACTCATTGATTGACCAAGAGACTAAATGGTGGAACATAAAACGAATTCAGGATCTAATTAAGTATGCAAATAACCATCAACAACCATATTTTCACCATTTTTGTTGACTAGCTCGTAACTGAGACAAAGAGTCAAAGAGGTATAATACTGACTCATCATTTCCCACAGCACGTGGTGTTCCCAACGAATTCCCTATATATTAACGAATTTGGACTTTATATTTTGGAGAGTTCTAAAGCAAGATGGAACAAGGGAACGTAGTAGTTGCTACCCTTGGTTAGCTTGGTAAAACTAGAAAACGAAGAACGATCGATATAACTAAATATGTAGCAGCCAGATCTCCTTAACAAAATATTTTGTGAGCACGAGATGAACACGAAGTTTGGATACAAGTCGTTAGCCGGGCATATTCGTGAAGGCATGGAAGTCGTTCCAGAGCTTATCATCCCTCCTATGTTTTGAACTCCCTTGTTCTTTGTTTTCAAGTTGATGGTTCATGAAAACAAATTAAATCTAAATGCGCAGCCAGATTATCCAAATTAATGATACGAATAAATCCTCAAAGTCATTTCACTAATGTTATAAAGAATATATGTTTTCATTAATTTTTTTAACTTTCTTCATTATTGTACAAAATTTTAACTTTCTTATTGTTCTTCTTTTGGTATGCATGTGCACCTCTTCTGTTCTTCTGTTAACTCCTAAATTATCCACACCAAAATAAAACGAACTCAAAAATGGATAATTCAATACTAAGAACTCTTTTTACTATGTACTTTTTGCCTAATCATTTTAATTACTATTGAATTCTTCTTAAAGGTTTTATGTGCACATACATATTAACTTAGATAATTTACCTGGATCTGCCTTTGAAGAACTTTCACGTATTCTACAGCTTCTTCTAACATGTCTGCCGTGTTGGTTTGCTGCAACAAAGACAAAAAGTAAACCAATATACTCAGAGCCTAGACTTAAGATCTTTAAATATGCCAGAACCCGAAGTTATCGTCAGTTTGTTCATAATCTATAGAGAAGAAACCAAATTCATACTTGTTTGATCGAAGTGACAACAATTCAAGTCGATATTAAGATCCTTCCCATTGGGTTTTAATAGTTTAAACCACAGTTTGTGAATTACTTAGTTACGGAGCTGAGAACTGTGTCTCTGAAGTTGCATCAAAACCATCAACAGTCATATTTTAATTTGTCTTCTCTACGGCTAACCTATTAACCTCTAACTTCTACACTTGATTTAAGCATATATAATCTTTGACCCATTTATAGTCAATATAATTGTGTAAGACATTCGAGATCATCAGATTATATATACGCTATAAAAGATATTACCTTGTCCATGTTAGGTACAAGCTCTTGTAGCTTCCTTATCCGATCACTAATCCGCGTCCTTCGTACCTACACAATGGAAAGATAAAGATAAATAAACGCTGACCAGAACAGAACAATTCTTTGTTCAATGAAGCATACCGTGAATCAGTGAATCCGTAAATTTAAAGTAAAGATAAAAGTTGTATCACTAAACTTCAACGAATTGAAAGTTAAGATAGAACCTCTTTATCACTAAACTTCCACAAATTGAAACTAAAGATTGAATATTTTTTACCCTCTCGGCGATGCTTCGGGGATGAGTTGCACAACCACGTTTAGCCCGAACCCTAAAGGCAACAGAGTCCTCCATAAGGTTCTCCATGTTCATATCCGTCATGCCTGATACCCCGGCAGGAACTTGACCGCTACTTTGCTCTCCTTTCTACTTACAGAAAAAAACCCGAAAAGTGCCAATCAACACAAAGCCTGAAACCTTAATCAACATCACTCAATAGATAACATATGTTATACATGCAATCCAAGTTGTGTATCAAGTATAGTACGTAGTAACACAATCCTAACGATGAGGAAGATCAATACATATTTACACATCAGCCACCAAAATCAACATGAACAAAGAAGTATATATCATCATGTGGCCTTATGTTCTTCTCAACAAGTTACCCTTATGAGCTTTCTTTAATGTTCACATTCACACATCAAAGCAACAGAGCCAACAACAAAAAGAGAAATAAAAACTACCACTTTTTTTTTTGGGTTAAAATAGAAACTGCAACTTGCTGAGTTTGGTTCAGAAAAACACAAGTTGTCAATTTTAAGACAAGACTGGTCTTTTCAATCTCGAGAACTTAGTCAGCAATTTAACTACAATTTCAAACAACTTGACAAAATTAAAACAAGTACTAACTCAGTTAAGTCCTTCCTATTTTTGGTAAACTAAAAAACCCTAATTTTAAGAACTACTTTTGGTTGACTCAAATGATTAATAGAACATATATCTTTTACCATTTGAGAAGTAAACTCAGGAGAAGAGAAGAGTGCTTCCATTTCTCTAGACCGCTTACTTCCCGGAGAAACATCGATATTCCCCGATAAGTAATCGTAATTCGCCGGAATCCCAAAGCTTTGTATAAATCCATCAGAACCACTAAGAAAATCCGCCGGAGTACTATTTTGTCGGTGAAACCCACCTTGTTGATACAAACCTTGTTCAACAGGAATCGGGAACTCGAACGAGCTACGACTTGTCGGTAAATCGTTCGAGTTCCCCGTAAGCAAATCGGTGAGACCAAGATTAGGTTTCATAGACTCTTCTTCATCTTCCTCAAGTAAAGCTTCAAGCCAAGTAGCTGGAGCTGAACGGATCCGAGATAGTCCACTTCGACTCACCCCTCCTCCTCCTCCTCCTCCTCCTCTGCTACCTCCTCCGTCATCACCACCGCCGCTACTACCGACGGATGTTGATTGCATCCCCTTTGGCTTTTCTCTGGTTTCAATAGACAAGACAACAAAAGTTTTTTTCTCTTTCTTTACATTTTTTTTTTTGTTTCTTGCTCTGTTTTATTTTTCTTTAATTAATAATTAAATTCATCAGCAGACCAGATTGTAGTTCTTGGATTATTTTTTATTTATTTGTTTCAATAACAAAATTGCGGCTAGTAATTAATAAAGAACCCTAACCGTCTGATTAAGATACTTTCCTAACACTTGACTTAAGATAAAGATAGTACAGAACCTAAAAAGGTTAGAGATGCGTCAGCGCGTAACAGAGAAACATTGCTTTAACGTCATTGTTCTCTTTTGTTTCCTTTTTTATGTAATAGATTATGGTTTACACCACTCGCGATGGAAGCGCGTAGATTCCACCTTCTCAGTCTGATTTCAATTTCAGGTGAACTTATTTATTAGCGACTATAAAATGTTTGAAAAATGCGACTTTTATTTAGTCGCACTGCCGTTTAGGTAAAAGAATAAAAAACCCACACCATAAAAAAAATTATGGTATCTTAATTTTTATTAGATATATATGTTTATGAGGTTTGACAAAAAATATCTTAGCAAAACAAATTTTTTGATATATTTAGAAAACATATTTATGAATATTTATTGCGGTTCAATAAAAAAAAACCGAATAAAAATTTATTAAAATTTTGCTGCATATTAAATCAGAGTTTCCTGATCATTCAGATTTAAAATCAATTTAGTATATATATATATATATATATAATATGTATTTGAACCATCACCCAAAATGTTTAATCGACGTGAGACATTTATTTCACACTTATGTTCTTCACTAATTAAGTAAATTATGTCTCTTCTTTAAAATTCAATCAAAACGCAATTTTTTTTATTTATTTATTAACTCAAATGTTTTAAAATATGATCGATTGGGGAAATTATGTCCATTTTTAAAAATTCATATCACAACATATGCTAAAAATAATCTAGATTTATATATGTTAGATGAACTATTTATTAATTCAAATGTCTTAAAAATGTGGTCAAAAAAGATGAGAAGAAGTATCTCTAAACTAATTAAAATAAATATTTGTGTTGACAAAATTAGAGGAGATATAATTTTTAATATTTCCTTAAATAAATTAATTAGTTAAAATCGAAAAATAAAATTGATTTTTATTTCAATTATTGTAATTCTAAATTTACCATTTCTAATTGCAATTAAACTCATTGTAAACATAATTTCAATGGCAATTGAAACAATTAAGTCTATAAATTTGGACAATGGTCCAAATTTATTTCTCTTTTGATAATATAAATATGAACTGAAAAAAAAATCACAATTAAAATTTTTTTTAAAGGCTAAGCAAAGCTCGTACAAACATATATACCATACATTGAACATATATGAAATTGTTTTGGAAACAATATGTACTTGTAGTCTTGTAGATACATAAAATACATATTGAAATTGGAAACTTTTATTTATTATTAGATGTTGATTTTTTATAAACGGTTAAATTTGTTATTCATCTTTGAAGGTTGAGGTCAACACATTCGTTGGAGACCCATAAGAATAAAGACATGAGAAGATGACGATGGAACATTTGATAGAAATGTAACAAATACATTTGAAGATTTTGTTCGTGAGCCAAGCTGATACATTTGTAAAAGAGACTTTTTGTTGATATTGCTATAGGTTGCAAAATCTTGAGAGTATTGAGAAAGACAAAAGATTAGCTCTCATTTTAGGTAGCTCTTGGTTCTTTTGTGGCATCTTTACATTGCTAAGATGATTGCAACAAAGTTTATAGACATTGTCATAAGTCTATTTGGAATGTCATGATTGTGAATTTTTGTGAGTTTATTTTGGTGATAATCTATAAATTGGCGGGTACCTGCATGTATCATCAAGTTATCACTCACAATCAGATGGATACACGGAGGTTGTTAATATTGCATTGAACAGTTTTTTCGATGTTTCGTTCAAAACAGACTACAGCAGTGGAGTTCAGTGTTGCCTTGGGCCAAGTTCTGGTATAACACGACTTATCATTCATCCATGAAAACAACTATTTTCCAAGTGTTATACGACCGTGAACCGCCCGTGATTTCATCATACAAAGTGGGTTCTTCTAAGTATTGTGATTTGTTGGGCACAAATACTATAAAATTAGACAAAAAAAATATAAACAGATTAGTGTCTCATATTTATCACAAAAGTTTAGTCCAAGAGCAAAAATAGGCCATCATGTTTTACAATAGACCCACAATTATATAAATAATAGTTGAACTAAATCTAGTAAAAACAGGCCATCATGTTTTACAGTAGACCCACAATTTTAGTTTTTATTTTGATAATTGAAGAAAAAAAACAATCTATAACGAGAGAAAGCAACAAACAAAGTTATGCAACTTGCAAATCATGCTTAATGAATGATACTCCCTCCGTTTCACAAAGAGTGTCGTTTTAAGGTTTTAATCTTGTTTCATAAAGAGTGTAGTTTTGTGTTTTCAATGCAGTTTTTAAGACTAATTCTCTTTTTTATCCCTACTATTTTAGCTTTTTAATTAGAAAGAGGGTATTATTTAGTGTATTAATAAGGGATAGAAATGAAATTTGTTAACTTTTCTTAATTTGTGTGAAAAATGCTAGAATGACACTCTTTGTGAAACAGAGGGAGTATAAAGTTGTCCATCATTCTTGAAGTGGCCTTAGGAGATGGATCATAGGCTATTGGGGATAGTCTTACACCACACATCATACAATTCACTATTGAACTGTTTATGAAGGGATCAAGTTGATTAGAAGCAAGGATCCATGCATGATATTTCTGAGGAACTATATCCTCTTTTTTACACAACAAAACCAATTGGTCAAGAACTCCATTAAATACTTTATTTCAAGCATTCTCTATGGGATTAGAAAGGTTGGTGGATGTTGTTCTCATAGCCTTTGTTAAATCAACCACATTAAAATGGTTTTCCTTAGGCAATAGTTTGATAGACTTTGTTGGAACCGAAAAATCAAACCGAACCGAACCGAAAAGAGTTTCGGTTCGGTTCTCTCGATACTACTACATACCCGAATGGATCTCAGTAACACTATCTACTGGATATGGTTAATAACCGAACCGAACGAAACTGAACCGAATATCCATGGGTATCCAAATGGAACCGAAAATGTGTGGTCAACTCTCTACAAACCTACATTTAATCCCAATACATTTTGTCCCAACCTCTAACCCAATAGATTTTTATTAATTTTTTATATTTTGGCCAATTATAATTTAGATAGTTGATTTACATTATTTTAGCGTTGAAATTAAAAAGATATTGCAATTTTATTAAGATACTAGGATATGACCCGCGGTACACCGCGGGTTAATTATTTGATTTTTTTTTATCCTTTTATAAATTGATGAATTTGTTGTATATAATTTTTTTGTTGTACACCGCGAGTCACATGCGTTGTAACTAAGAAATAAAATTTTTAAGTTGTATTTGTTTTGTTTAGTGTTTAAAATTGTATAATTGTATTTTGATTTGTTAATCCTAGGATTTCACATGTGGTATATTATTCCGTATTAATATCGATCCAACCCCGTCTCACCATATAATCCCATCCCGTGAAATTAAACATCATTTTGTTATTTTTTTAATAACACTTTTATTTAAAAGACATATAATTCGAGTTATAATAGTTCTAAATTGCAAATACTTGCCAATATTAATTAAAAGTTTAAAATCAATGCTTGCACTGTGATATTACGTAAAAATTTAATATCACAAATAAATAAAAACAAAATTCACATTTTGAATTTATATGTTTTTATGATTCCAAAAAATATTATAATGAACATATAATAAAGCATTCGATTAGAAATAAACCATGTTGGAGTTACATATAGACTCAATATTTACACCATCCAACTTATACTCTTTTCAAAATGTAAATTTTGGATTTTTAATCAAAAATTGCAAAACACATTCCGTTTAGCTACTATTTTGTAATGATTGGACACGGAATTATTTACATCACTAAAACATGTTTTTTGTTTTGGTAGGAATTTCACTAAAATATGGTTAAACCATGCCTTTTTGTTCTGATATAAGTTTTTTTTTTCCGTCAATTTTCCCTATTTAATCAGTTATCAGGCCCACCGACAAAAAAAAATCAGTTACCAGGCCCTATAACCAATAATAGAGTGCTGGTCAAAACTGATTCAACATGTAAATTGGGAAACATTAAAGTTGGGCCTGATGTTTATGGCCCAATAATAAGGCGGAGGAGAGTTCTCTCACTCGCATCATCATCTTTTAATCTTCCGCTTCAATTCTAAATCTCCCGGCGAAGAAAATAACCGGCGAATTTCACGGAAAAACCTCGCCGACGAAGCAAAGTTATGGCAGTCCTGGCTGCGGTGGCAGGATCACGACCGTGGAATGCTTTTATTCAAGCTTTATTTCTGATATCTCTATCATTTCCCATTCCCTCCAGCGCTTACCGATCTTGCGATATCGTCCGGATGAGCAAGATGGGGCAATATCACTCTGTTCGTACTCCTCCTCTTTACAATTTAGCTGAGATTACTTTCTAATTTGATGGAGACTAAAGGATCTGTTGATTCTTTGGCAGTCGAGAATCACTTGGCATGATGTGATCGGAAAACATTGCCCGATCTTCGCCGTTAATCGCGAGGTACTGTGTGTAATTAGGTTCCAGAAATTTGATGGAGAATTAGATTGAATCTTGTCTTTCTTTGCCAATTTTTAGGTTTTGATCCCCATAGCGAAACCAATTGGCTACACATGAACTGATCCTTATAAGATGTGAGAATTTAGTGGTTTGATTTTGATTTTGTATAGCTGTATTTGGAGCTTTTGAATTGAGATTGACGGATTTTTTTCATTTGCACAGAGATATTTTTGAGGAGATCTGCTTGTAGTCACAGCTCAAGTTGTTGATATGCCTCATAGCTCAAGTTGTTAAAAAGAATAATGATAATATAGACTCAATTTTAGAATCTTGCTTACACATCAGCCAACACCATGTCCAAGGTCTCACCAAATCTTGTTGTGTATGATTTTCAGGTATGAAGGACCCTCACTTCAGCTTGCCATTTTGTCGTGTAAGGTTTATCATCTCTAAGAAATGCAAAGGAAGCCGTCACTGCTAGAGTTGATGAATGAAGGAGAATATGAAGAAATGAGGTAATTGCTTGATGATGTAGAAAATTGAAAGAATAGAAATATTTATAGAGAACTTAGATGTCTAGGGTTAAGGTCAAATCGATTTGAGAAATATCGTGTGGAGAGAAGTAGAATATCTAAGATACGGGAAACTAAAAATGGATTCTTAGATTAATCACAATGAATGTGACAAAATTTTAAGGGAGGATTAGGATTTCGTGAAGTAACAATATAGATCCTATTGAATATGATGGAAGATTGTAGATAATTTGTTTAGGAAATCTTGATTTGATCGAATATGTAGAGAGAATATGCTTTAATTAGATACCAAAATTAATGATTCGATAGGATTTGCATTTATTGTGTAATATACTTAGCCAAGATTTCGGGTAAAAATCTCAAATAAGGTAAGATCCGAGATTGATTTTTCCGGGTCGAAATAAATGATTTCCGGGTCAAAATTTTGACCCGATTAGGAACCCAAAAAGTGTTGCAAAAATGTATAGTAGATAAAAATCTAGAATGCGATTTATTCAGGTTAAAAAACACCATTTTTCCAATTTAAGTTTAACCATTCACCAAATTTATTTATTTTTTTCTTCAAATCCGAATGTTTATAATCACCTACTACACAATTTAACCCAAAAAAAAAATGTCAAATGAAGTCGGCAAGAGTCAAATATATTACCAAAAAAAAAAAAAAAAAAAACTATAAAAGTAGCAAGTCATGAACGCCGCCGTCTTCCTCCGCCGTAACAAACACTGACGTCATGCTAACCTACGCATCTTGCTTCTCTACACGGTGGAGTCGCATCGTCTTTTTGATCCTCTGTTCACCTCTTCTTCTACCTCTTCTCTGCCTTTCAATTCCTCTCCTCTGCGCCGTCGAGATTTTTAGCCGCCTCCTCAGTTGTATCGTGAAAGCTCCACCTTCCTCCGCCGTGTCGGAAGTCCTTGCCGTTGACGAAGATGATTTACGGCTCCGGCGATGTGAAGAAGGATTTGGAGTGAAAGAAGAAGATGAGAAAGAAGAAAGTGGTTTGCTTGATAGATACTTAGATGATCAGTTGAGTTTGGCTAGAACCATTTACGAAGATGACGGCGATCGTGATAGTGTTTCTATTAGGGTTCCTCTTTTGTCGTAAATCTTTTTTTTTTTTAAACTAGTAAAATCTAAAAATATAAATGTAGATAAATGAATACACTTTCGATTATATCAATTTTTATGATTTTTTTTGTTTGCTTCTTGAATTCAACATTTACCGCTCATAATAGTGACTAATTTGGTAAGAGTCGTATCCAAATAAAACCCACAAAAGCTAGCTTAAGTATTTGGATGTTCTTAGATCTTACATTTATTTAAAATCGTGGTAAGAAAAACGATTTATAGGGTTTTTAATCAAAACTTATTACTAAGAAAAACGATTTATAGGGTTTTTAATCAAAACTTATTACTATATGATTTGCCGAATTTTGAAGATTTTTAAAAGTTTGTGTTAAAAAAAAAAACACAATTAGTTTGGGTTGTGTAGTAAAAATATTTCAAATTTTCTTATGTCATAGGCTATTAGGCTCATAGCATTTACATGAATGTTAAGACTTTATAGAGAAAATATGCAATGGACACAATTTTTGAAGCCATTCAACACTCAAAAGTCAAAACATTCCTCGGTGAAATTTGGAAGCAAAATGAAAAAAATAAGAGGGCAAAATACAAATATAAAACAAAAGAATTTAACAAACAGAAGTACAGAACCACACAAACATATAAGTCGATGACAAAGAAAGAAAAAAAAACACAACCAACAACAATCATATGATCAAGTTCTAAACTAAGAAACACTCGAAGAAAGATACAAACTTTTGTTACTCACATAGTAAAGGCTTAACCTTGAACCTGTAGATAAGCATTTTCTTGGTTGAATTCGGGTTATCCACGGTTAGCAAAATCCTGCCAACTTCTCCAACTTTGAAGCTCTGAGACACCACCGGTTCATTTTTCGCAGTCATCTTCCTCGGTTTCTGAATGATCACTGTATATCCTTCTTTGTTCTCTGGCACAAACTCTGCTCCATACGAAACCTCCCATCCCACTACTCTTATCTCCCACACGATCGTGCATTTCTGCAGACAAAGTGTTTTTTAAGGCACAAATGTAAGAAGACTCCATCCAAACCTAGCTGAATCTTGAGAACTTAGTGTTGAAACCACAATCTTTTCAAAATGGAAACCACATTCTTCAATATTTTAAACAAAATTTAGTTGTTCGTTGTACATGTAAACGCCAAAAGCAATTATGTTGCATTTGTTTTTGCATTTACATGTTACAATAATTTTGTTCCAAACAAAATCATAATCTGTAGCATTTAAAACAAAATTCACTTGTAAAATCGAAAACGCAAACGCAAAACTCGAATGGAAGGAAAAACTCTGTTTGCATTACCACTATGCAAAAATATATTATGAAAACTAAAATGTTTTTCCATTTCAAAGTAGGTTTTGGAAATCTTTTAACATATGAACACAAACACAGACAGTTGTATAAAAATGTCCAATAAAAAAGGGTCTCACCTCGTAAACAATAATCTCGACGGTTTGTTTAGTAGTTGGTTTAATAGTAATCTCGGTAGCGATATCATCATGTGTGAAATCCGAGTTGCAGTCGCAGTTATCCACACTTAGTCCACCATACTGAACCGGAACATGTTCTGGTGATATGTACCTATAAAACCAAAGACAAGAGAGTCACTTAACATTTCCAATACTAATCGAAACAATTCGAAAAAAACGTCAAAAGATTTTGGCTATTACTTGAAAAGGGTTTCCGCAGATCTTGAAGGACCTGCGAAAACTAGTTTGCTCTTTGATCTTTGTGACATAAAAGGACTAATAATCCTATAGAACGCAAGGTACCACCATGGAACATTGATGAATATCTGATCACACATTCAAGATTCAACAATATCAGATCTGAGCAATCATAAAGTCATTGGTCTGTGTAATAAAGATTCATACCTGTTTAGAGACAAACTCAGGATAATTATCTTGAAGAAGATGAAGAGCTTGCTTAGTAGCTAACCTAAGCTCAGTCTTACCAGGTCCTGGAGAATTCTTAAGATCATTTACTTGACATATAGTGGAAACACCACCAGCTACAAAATCAAGATTCCTTATACTCTTTTCAAGAAACTGAATCCTCCATCTCAAGAACCGTTCTCTCTTCTCTTCATCTGAAAACGTTTTCTGATAAAGATCTTTGTTCTGAAACTCACCATAGACATTGTAACAGACAGGATGATTGTCTTTGTCATTTCCTTGCATGAACACAACTTTGTCTAAATCGTCACCGAGGTTTTCGTCTAGAAGCTCTTCGATGTTGAAGTCGATTCTCCATTGGAGTGTTTTCTTGAGCATTGAGTAAGCTTCTTGAGGTTTAAAGTCTCTTGCTCTTAGGAATTTCAACAAAACGACGTCGGTTCTGTCGTCTTTGAGAAGTGGCACACCCCATAAGAAGCTTTTGCTTGAATCTTGAGATACTTGAAGAAGGTGACGAAGCTCGTGGAGTGCGTTTAACTCTGGTTCTGAAAGATCGGAGATTTTGTTTGTTTCTTCTTTGAATGAACCGAGACTACGAGGAATCTGAAGGTTTTGTTTCTCTTCTGCTTCTGCTTCTTCTCTGTTCATCATTTCCGCTAAAGATCTAGATTCAACGGTGGGTGCAGTAGTAGGTGGTGGTGGTGCCTGAGGCTCAGGGACTGACGCTGCAGCTTCTAACACCGCCGCGTCTGGTAGTTCTGGCTCTGTCCAATCTTCTACTTCCATGTACTTTCTCCTCTGCTCCAACATCAGTTTCTGTGATGGCTCTGTCTCCGTCGTCTCTGAATCTTCCTCCGCCAAGTGGTTAGGCTCTTCTGGCTCCGAAATTACAAGCAATGACGTGTCTGTCTCCGAAGTTTCTTTCTCCGGCGTCGGCGTCACTCCATGTGGCTTCTCTGAATCCTCCGCCGCGTGGTTGAGAACCTCTGGCTTCAAAGTCTCTGTCTCCGGCGTCACTTCATGTCTCTGCTCTGAATCCTCCGCCCCGTGGTTAAGACCCTCTGACTCCAAAGTCACCGTCTCCGGCGACAAATGATGTTTCTGCTCTGAATCTTCCGCTTCGTGGTTAAGACCCTCTGACTCCAAAGTCACCGTCTCCGGCGTCACTTCGTCTAGCTTCTCTGAATCAACCTCCGCCGCATGATTTGACTCCTCTAGCTCCGGCATATAAGGTAGTTGAAGATTTGGCTCCGAAGTCACCGGTGCCTCTTCTTCCAAAGTTACATGCTTTGGCTCTTGTTCTTCACCGGAAGGCATTGAAACGTCGGAGGTTAAAGGTGGCGGCGGAGTAGTAGTAGTAGTAGTAGTAGTTGCAGAATCTTGAAGCATTTTTTTATTTTCTTGAAAAAAGCAGAAGAAAGGGACAGAGAGAAAGAGAGAGAGATAGTGTAAACGGGTTATTCAGGTAGAGAGGAATGGTCAAAGAAGAGGTATCCAATGTGTTGGCTCTAAATTTACAACTCAAAAAGCTGTCCTAATAAAGTAAAAGATGTCCTTTTCCTTTTTAAAGTAAATAATAAATTTGTAACCAGTACTTTATTAAATTATATGCTACTTGTTGTAACTACCAAAATAATGATTTATGTTCGTGCATGTATTTTTGGGTTTAGCTAATGGTCTTTTAGAACATTTCGAGGTTGAATTGTTAGTAGATTTATTTGTAAATAAGGTAATGTGACGATTTTGGTGAGTAGTGGAATGCTTCTAGAAGATAGTTTTAGCACTCAAATTAGCAAGTTAGAGAAGGCTCGAGGATTAGAAAATGTAACAGAAGCATCAAATATTGTGCAAATGTGATAACATAAAAATTATAAAAGAGTTACATATTTTAGATGGTAAATAGAAATTTAAAGATAAATATGTAAAATAACATCAAAATACATTGTGTAGACAATTATAACACATATTTCACAAATTTTTAAAAATAATATTGGTTGTTTATACAATGACTATTTTGTTTTTATTTAAAAAGTTTTTAAACATTTAATTAAGGTTTCTCTAAATAGTTGTAAATCACGATATAAGCTTTCATTTTTATGAATGTAGTATTGAATTGTTTTCAACAACTTAGTGATTTGAGTTGGAACACTTTACATATTATTGATTCTATTTCATATGATTATTTTAAAACATAATATTTTGAAAGTTTTTCAACAATTACATAATCTTAAATATTTTCTAACAAGTAAGTAAGACATCTTTAAACGAGGATATTTTAGTTTTCTAATATTAAATTTGTGTTTTACTCAATCATACATAATCATAAACACGAGATCTTGACATATTTGACTACAAAATGCTAAACAAGCGTTGTATTGATTTTCAAAGCTTGTGTGTGCGGGTAAAGTTGTAAAAGAGGTTTTATGGAGCTTCTACACAAACATTCACGACTTTAGCTTTCGTAATCTGGTTACATGTCTAGCTCTTATACTCAATCATACACACGGGATCTTGACGCATTTAACTCCAAAAACGCTAACTAGGCTTTGTATTGATACCAAAGCTTTGTGGGTGGAGTGAAGTTTTAGAAGTGTTTTTTTGGAGCTTCTCCACAAACATACGCGAGTTTAGCTTTCGGAATCCATTTGCATGTCTAGTTCTTATACCTAATCATATACACGAGATCTTGACACATTTTGTGGATGTCGGATTCGCACACTTGAATATTTGTTTAATTAGTGGGAATGATTATTCTTGAGGGCAAAAATATGATAAAAAAGCTATGAATTGCAATAGGAATGACTATAGTGTATTTGCTAGAAAAATTGCCTCTATCTCACATGGCTATTAGCCCTCTTATTTATATTGGCAAACGACATTTAACTCTCAATTAAACACAATTATTCTCTCTTAAATGTGTCCGTTTTGGTCTTCGAGTTTTAATGCCCAACGTTTGAATTTGAATTGATTCAGACCTTCATGGGCTTTGCCTTTAGCCCAAGTTATCCGACTTCGATTCCGAGTCATATCCCGAGGTGTGACCACTCCGGGCTCTCTTTATGGTGACGCCCACTTCGATTATACCCTGTAAACCATGGGCCTAATGGGCCTTATCCTCTGTGGGCCTTTAACCTGATTACATGGCAATCTTTGGTTGGTCCCGGTCTGCTGGTGCGGGATCCGACACCAACAATTAGCCCCCCAAGTCCTTCGAAGTGCTTATTCCAGTTCGGAGGATTTTAATGCTTTAATGACCAAAGATTGCGCTTGAGGGATCTTCTGATTTTCCCGCCAAGATCTTGTCAGTCCTTTAATTTCGTCGTTTACCATATTTGATCGCGTGACATCTGTCACCATCATGACCGCGTCTTAATTATTTATTATTAAAACGGGGAAAAAACCTTTCCACTTCCCCCACGACTACCGAGGCGGTTCCATCATTACCACTTAGTTTGCGTGAGGTAACCTTTCTTTTCACTCTTATCTTTTGGTAAACATTTCTTTGCTTTTCTCGCTAAGTTTCTCTGTCTCCTTCGCCGAATTTTCTTTTCCTTGAAACTTGAATTTTCCATTCTCTTCGATGTCTTCCGACCCCAATAGACCTGAGTCTCCGTCTTATGACGGGAAACGTTCTAGCCTTGACGATTGCACTCGTCCTAACGATATCGCCGGACCTCACTACAGATCTACTTGTACCATTCAATCCCTTCAACGATTAAAAGAACTCTGCCGACTTCCACCTGACGTGATGGAGGAATCGAAGATGGCCGATCCTACGGAGTCCCCGGAGGATCACCGTGATGGTTACTTTTGCGTTTATGAAATCTACTTCAAGGGATGTGGATTGACCTTCCCTCTTCCCGAAGCCTTAGTCCGGTATTTAGCGGCTCTAGAAATTTCTCTTCCTCAACTGACTCCCAATCTTCTTCGAACCATTCTCGGGATCATAACCGTTGCGGCGGAGGCTGGATATATCATCGGAGTCCCCGAGCTGAACGAACTTCTAAGCGTGAGGAGTTCATCAAAGAAAGCGGGGTATTTTTCGGCGTACCCGAACGCCAACAGGAACATCATTTCGCATCTCCCGAACAAGGATGAAAACTGGCACCATCCTTGGTTCCTGATTAAGAAAACTCCTGCTTCGATCGGAAATCTCTCCGATGTACTTCCATCGAAGTGGTCTGCGAAGCCCGGTAGAAATTAGGTTGCAGATAGTTCTTTTAATCACCTTGTTGTTTTACCAATTAAATTCGTTGTTTCATTGTGCAGCCTTCATCGCTCCAACTCTCCCAACTGAGGACTTCGTCAGATTCTTCAAAATCCTCCTCGAAGGGGAAACCCTTTGGAATTCTTTCACCCTTGACCGATTTATAGAAGCTAATCGAAAACTCAGGATGAGCCCTCCTGGTCAACTCCAACGCCTTCCGCCCCCTCCCCCGTCTCAGGGTATGTCGGCTCGGGCCCTTGCTGCCCAACGCAAGAAGCTTTCTACTCCGATCACAAAGGCTTGTGATGAGAACAAGGCGTTGCTCGCGGCTGCCTTTGACAAAAAAGATTACAGTCGGTCATTGTTAGTCGACGACGGTACCGCTGAAGGGGCCAGATCTACGGGTGCCTACAGGCTAACGCCTCGTCGTGAGCGCCATGGTGACCGTTCTCCTCGAAGAGCCCGGTCTCCTCGTCATGATTCTTCTCGACCTCCCCGAGATGACTTTAGCAACGAACCTCTTAAGAATTTGATTCGCAGGAAGAGAGACAAATCATCTCGCAGTGACTCTTCTCCTCAAAGAGAGAAGTCGAGGGCCCGAACTGAGCGTTCTCCTCGTTCGTCCCCTCCTGCTGAACCGATGGGTCCTCCTCCTCCAGTTGACATGTCTTCCCAACATAGTGGTGAGAAGACTGCTCGGAACGTATCTCCTCAGAAAGAAAGTTCTGAATCTCAAGATGCTCCCCCGAAGTCAAGACCTGCTCTTGTCCCACAGATCAAATCGCTTACAGGTAATGGTTTAGGCAACCTTAAGGGTTTTCACTTCATCTTGATTCAAAATATTACAATTCCTTCTTCTTCCTTCACAGCTATGGAGAAAGAAGGTAGCGTCTTTCGATGCTTTAAGACTCGGTCGGGGCTAACTCTGCCGGAGTTCGACAAGTGGCGTCCTTCAATTCGCGAACGCTATTTGCTTCATGCGCATCACTCATCTCGGGTTAGTCTTACTTCATTCTCCCTTTTATGTTAACTTTCCACCTGGTTCATCATTTCGAGTTTATACAAAATGCCAGGCGAACAGCGAACTCAACGACATGATCGAACACTATGAAGGGTTGTTACTCAGTCAACAACAGGAGATTGACTTATGGAGAGGCAAGTTTACTACTCTTGAGTCCGACCTTCAATCATCTTCGGGCTCTAAGCAACAACTGGAAGACCAAGTAGACGGCCTCAAATCTGAGCTTGAGAAGATAAAGGGGGATCTGAAGGACCAGTATGACCAGAATTACCAACTACAGAACGAGCTGTCTGGTGTTCAGGGTAGGCTTCACGAATCTGAATCATCTGCCGACGCCCTGAATAACCAACTCATTGAACTTCGCGCGAAGTACAACGCGATTACCAAGTTGCGTGATTCCGAATTGGCAAGGTCGGCGTCGAAGGCCAGAAAGGAGGTAAAGGGACGAGGGATGGAGTTGATTCAAGGGGCCATCCGTTTTATTCAAACTGAGAAGGTTAAGTCGGATCTGGAGTCAGACATCAAGGAGCACGAGAGCAACCTAATCTTGCTGGATCAAATCCACGAAGACGATTTCTCCGAAGTGAAAGAGAGATCCGAGCTGTCGTCTAACTTATCCGAAAAGAAAAGTCGCCTGGCAGCTTTTCCCGCTTCGTCCTTCAACCCTCAGGACTTCGCGGAGTTTTTCACTGAATCTCCTCCCCTAAGTGAATCAGGGTTAGACTGGGCAGGTAATCGCTTGTTCTCAATGCTTACTTCCCTCTTCTTACCTTCTGTTTGACCCGAACTGTCTTTTATAGGTTCAAGTGAAACGGAGGGCGTCGTCTCATCCGAAGTCCCTGCTGCACCGAAGGTCATCCCAGGAGATGTTTTTCCCGTAGTGAATGAACAAGGAACTTCCTCTGAACAAGTCCCGGCCAAGGAGGCGGATGAAAACCCATCAACCGAAATGGAGGCCGAAGTGTCTGTTGACCCGTAGTGGCTGCGTCCACTCCGAATTGGGGCATGTCCCATTATTATATATATTTTTTGAGACTTAAATCTTTATGTTTTTGTTTTTGCCCTAGGAGGCTTTTATTATCAGTTTCTTTTGAACCAGATATTTGCCTGAGGAGGCTTTTAAACCTTTTAAAGGTTATGATCCCGAGGGGGTTTTTGGTTAAAAATTATATGCGGGTTTGCAAAGTCCGCTTTTTAACATTTCTTGGCCTTGTGGCTAT